CCTCCTTCTGCCTTCTCCTCCCCCCTGTGCTGTGAGGCTGGCCTCCCGTGCAAGGGCCTGGGCGAAAGCCCCCGCGCATATCTGGAGGACCTCCGTCGACCTTCTGCGGCAGAACGGGCAGTTGTGCCCCCTGCCCTCCCCGATACATCTCTGCGGCTTGGCCGCCCCGATGCGCAAGGCCTTGGAAGGCCATGCCGGCACTCTTCGAGCGTGGCGCGGCTGGCGGAAGGGGCCAAGAATGGGCCGCGGGGGCAGGCATGCCAGGGCGATCTTGGACAGTTGCTCATGCGCATGGACGGTAGGTCTGGCGCGAGATGCGCTCGTCAAGGCGTGGGCCGACACGTCGAGCCAACACGCAGCGTGTTTCGCCACGGACGCTCTGCTCACAGCGCGTGCTCTGCTTCAAGACGGGCGCATCGGGGCAGCCAGGCTCCGCGGCTTGGGCCTGAGGCCGCCGGGCTCTCCTTGCGTCGCTCCTGGGCCTCTGGGAGGCTTCCCGAAGCCACCGCTGGGCTCCGCTCAATGGTTCGGGTCGCAGCGCAGCCCCGGAGAGGTGCAGGAGCCATCTCTCGAGCGGCGGGCGGGGAGGAGGAGGGCAGCGGGAAGGGAGCCCATCTGCCCCCTTCTCGGCCTCCCGCGGCCCGCTCTCGGGCCCAAGGGCCCTCAACAGAAACGGACCCCGGGCGAAAGTCTGGCCCCGGGGGAGGGGTCAGGGTCCCTGGGGCCGCGCGCGGAAAGCAAACGCAACGTCGCATGTCTGGGCATCTCCGCGGCTTGGGCTAGGTCGGGCATGTCCCACGGACGCTCTGCTCACAGCGCGTGCTCTGCTTCAAGACGGGCGCATCGGGGCAGCCAGGCTCCGCGGCTTGGGCCTGAGGCCGCCGGGCTCTCCTTGCGTCGCTCCTGGGCCTCTGGGAGGCTTCCCGAAGCCACCGCTGGGCTCCGCTCAATGGTTCGGGTCGCAGCGCAGCCCCGGAGAGGTGCAGGAGCCATCTCTCGAGCGGCGGGCGGGGAGGAGGAGGGCAGCGGGAAGGGAGCCCATCTGCCCCCTTCTCGGCCTCCCGCGGCCCGCTCTCGGGGGGCCCTCAACAGAAACGGACCCCGGGCGAAAGTCTGGCCCCGGGGGAGGGGTCAGGGTCCCTGGGGCCGCGCGCGGAAAGCAAACGCAACGTCGCATGTCTGGGCATCTCCGCGGCTTGGGCTAGGTCGGGCATGTCCCACTACAGGCGGATCTTGGACGAAACATAAACGTAGCCAACAAATTCCAAGACATGAAAAAACAAGTAAGAGAACAATCGTCCCCAGACTATTTCCGAGCTACTTTTGAGTACTCCTCCTGTAGCGGGGCGTGCCCGACTCAAAACAGTCGCAACGTCGCATGTCTGGGCACCTCCGCGGCTTGGGCCGCCGAGCAGGGGGGCAGGGGCTCTCGGGGGGGACGAGGGACACCGCAGAGGGCCAGATACGGGCCCGAGGGCCCGAGAGCACGTCGTGCACATGACGGGTGCTACAATTCGTCGGGCACTGCTGAGGCGTGCCTGGGTGAGGGCCTGCCTCGAAAACTGGTCGGCGCACGTGCTGTACTGGACCCATGGGCACGCCTCGATCAACTTCAGCGCGCGCGCACGCGTACCTCACCCGTGCACCCACGTGCACGCGCTCATACATGTACGCGTAGCCGTGCGATGTCGACATAGACACGCACGTGCACATGCACAGAGTGCGCGCACAATTGCACATGGAGATGCACATGCCGACGGACTCACGCAGAGGCATACGCATGCACATGGGATGCGGACTCGCATGCCCGTGCACCATCACGTGCTCATGCTTGCATATTCGCGCGTGTGCACGTGCACGCGCATCTATACACATGCACACACAACAACACATACACCAATGCACCTACATTTGCACACACGTACGGTACACCTCGCCACATATAAATATCATAGCAGGCACTTTCGTGTACACGCACGAGTGCACATACCCCTACACATACGCGCGCATATGCACACATGTATTTACGAATCCGCACGCTCCGACATACACGTACACATATTCACATACACACACGAACGACTGCTCCGCAACGCATGCGGCCTTGTCTTGGCAACTATCCGATTGTACGGGCAGCGTGTGCAGTCCAGGGTGGGGCAACTCAGAAATGCTGTAAGAAGAGACCTGACCCGATGCCCATGGTGAACATGATAATAGCGTGGGCAACTAAAACCGCCAGGCGCCATGATAAATTCGGATCCACTGTGGTGATAGTGAAGGCCGCCCTGCTGTGTAGGAAAGCCCAGAATTGAAACACGCCAACCGCACACACACACACAGAACACACACACAAACCACGCACAACAGCATACAACACACAATCCACACAACGCAGAACACAACCCACATACACGCACGCACACACGCACACATGCACACACACACGAACGCACACACGCACACACGCGCACGCATGCACGCACGCACACGCACACACACACACACGCACACACGCACGCACACACAAACACACACACACACACACCACACAACACACAACACACAACACACACACACACCACACAACACGCAACACGCAACACGCAACGCGCAACACGCAACGCGCAACACGCAACGCGCAACGCGCAACACACAACGCGCAACGCGCAACACGCAACGCGCAACGCGCAACGCGCAACATGCAACACGCAACACGCAAAACGCAACACGCCACACACAACACGCAGCACGCAGCACGCAGCACGCAGCACGCAGCACGCACCCGCACCCGCCCTCGCACGCACTTACGCACTTACGCACTTACGAACGCACGCGCACGGACGAACACACGCACAACACAAAACAAGACAACACGACACGACACAACTCACAACACAACACGACGCAAGAAAGCACAGCACAGCACAACACGACAGCACAGCGTAACACAAAACCGAACAAGACAACGTAACACAGCACGGCACAGCACAGCACAGCGCAGCACACGAGCACACACGCACAAACACACACACAAGACCGCGCACACACATTCTCCCCCGCTCGCCACCATGGTGTGGCTCCCGGTGGTCGGTTCCCGTCCGAACTCTGCGGCGTGTGCGGCCCGCTGCTGGCCCAACACTGCGTTGGTCAACGGGGGGGGGGGGCCTCGCACCCGGGCGGCGGGTCGGCGCCGCCCTTCTAGAGGCCAGGGGCCCAGCCCCCTGTTTCTGTGTGCGGCGCCTCTCGAGCTGCGTCGGTCCGCGGTGCCCCGAGGGGGGCCCGAAAGCTGGCAACAGCCCCCCCCCCCCCCCCCAGCGCGAAAGGAATATGCGGCGCCCAGGTCTCAAGGGTCCACCGTTGGCCGTCGCCTCACGAGGGGGGGGGCCCGATGCATGGGGGGAGGGGGGAGGAGAGGCGCGCTTCTCGAGGCCTGCCTGAAGGCCCCCTCTTGGGCCCATACAGGGCCACCCTAGGGGGCCTACAACGAGAAGCAGTGAAAGTGCCCCTGCACTGCCTTTTTGGGAGGGGACCTCTCTGCAGATGTATCCAGCCACGCCTCCCAAAATTATTATCCCCAGTGCGAAAAAAGGGGACCGAAGTGAGGCCACATCTTCAACGTTTTATTCGGGTTGGGGGGTCTTCTGTTCTCGATGAAACAGGGCCCCTTTTCTCCAGCCCTCGCTGCCCCCCCATTTCTCGCCACCCCCACTGCGCGACGCCCAACACGGCCGCCCGCCGACGTCGCCAGCGACGCGCCACCTGTCATGCCCCGGACCCCTCCCGCACCCGCGGTGCTTGGGGCGGCTCAGGAACGTGAGGCGCAGGCACTCCTGGCCCGTCCGCGGGGGGGGGGGCGGTCTGCTGAGGGTGGGGACGCGAGGAGGAGGGAGGAGGACGAGGAGGAGGAGGAGGAGGAGGAGGAGGAGGACAACGATGACGACGACGAGGGACGACTCCAACCAGCCCTCTGGCAGTAGGTGGCTTAGTGACCTTAGTCCTTCAAACCTCGTTCTTCCCCTTCGGGGGGAGGTTTGCCTCTCCGCCTCTTCCCTCCCTGGGAGTGGACTGGGGAGTCGCGACGGGTTACAGCGTCCAAGATGGCCCAACATGGCTTCAAGACGGCCCCAGAAAGCCCCACATGATCTACAAGATGGCTGATTTACAATTGCAGGGCTGTAATAGGACAGCCGCTCATGATGTAATAACATCAGGGAAGGCGCTGAACCTGCAGATTCACTATCAATGCTAATCGATGGTGTGAACGTTCAGGCTCGCTGGGTAAGAGGAGCGGCATATCAGCCCCATGCAGGGACTAAACTAGCAGACATCACTTGCGCGCGTAGGCCATCGAGATCAAGAGCCCTTCCAACAGCGGATAACCTTGGCTATGCAACGTGTAATCGATCTTGTTCGCGATATCCTGACACATAGTTGCAGTTCTGCGTGGTTCCACCGTAACTCAATCCGACAAGTTGAAACTGCGCCCTGCTTGAAATCACCGTCTTCGCATTGTTTGCAAGCGTGGTTGATCGCGTCGTCAGGGCACTCCAAGACGGATCAACATAATATCCCAAGATTGCTCCAGATGGTTTCCAATCTATCCCCAGGAGGACTCAAGGGCGCAACAAAGCGGCTCCGAGTGGCCTCCGAGCCCTCCCACTGATGCCCCCGAGGAGCCAAACGCGTCTCAAATCCAAGCGAGAATGTATGTGTGCTCCCCTCTTCGCCTTTCCGCGCCCGAAGAGTTTCTCAAGCCTCGAGGCGGCTCCAAGACGGAGCCAGGTGGCCGCCTGCCAGCGCCTCCAGCTCCGCCGCAGGCTGGGAGAAGAGGGGCGGAGGCTCTCCACACTGGCAGCAACCACCAAGACGCCTGAGGGCCCCAAGAGGGCCCCGAGAGAGCCCCCAAGGCATCCGAAATGGAGGGGAGGATGAGGGGAGCAGGATGACGAGTAGCAGGAGCAAAGTGATGAAGATGAGGGCATGGGGGGAGGAGGAAGGCAGGCCCCCCCCCAGGTCCAGGTGTCGGGCTCGCTTGGGGTTGTCTTGACTGCTTCTTGGGCTGTCATGGGCGCCACAGGAGCCGTCCTGGGGCCATCTGGGGCTGTCGTGGCGGCCTGCTGGGGCCCTCTTGACGCGTCGTGGGGCGATCTTGGGGGCCTGCATTGTCGTTTTGGACGCTTTCAGTTTTCCCTAGGGATTGGGACGATTTGTGTGTTTGTGCGGGCTCTGTCGGGCGTTTTCTGGGAACCCACTTGGAGCGTTGTGGGGGCCTCTTGGGCCGTCTGCTTGTCAATTTTGAAAACACCTGGGGCCTAGAAGAAAGTCACCAGGAGGGCTCCGGTGACTTTGTTCCGGTGGCCTCTTCGAAGCCTGATGGCGGGCGCTGCCGTCTCCCTGGGAACGGTTTGGGGGCCTCTCGGGTTTTTTTTTTCGGGCTCCTGGAGGCCTCTTGGGGCTCTCTTGGGCTGTCTTGGGGCCTCCTGGGAGCGGCCTCTTGGGGCCCTCTTGGACCGTCTTGCGGCCTCCTGTGGCCTCTTGGAGCCCTCTTGGTCCGTCTTGGGTGCCTCTCGGGGCCGCCTGGGGCCGTCTTGGGTGCCTGTGGGGCCGTCTTGGGACCGTCTAGGGGCCCCCTTGGGCCATTTGGCCGCTCTTGGGGTTGTCTTGACTGCTTCTTGAGCTGTCATGGGCGCCACAGGAGCCGTCCCGGGGCCGTCGTGGAGGCCTGCTGGGGCCCTCCTGAGGCGTCTTGGGGCGATCTTGGGGGCCTGTACAAACCAAACACACGGGAAGTACGAACATGTACATTTTCCATAGGGTTTGGCATGATTTTTGCTTGTGCGGGCTCTGTCGGGCGTCTTCTGCAAGCCCACTTGGAGCATTATGGGGGCCTCTTGAGCCGTGTGGAAGCTATCTTGAGCGTCTTCGAGCACTCTTGGACCGTCTCGCAGGCCCTCTTGCACCGTCCTGGGACGTCTTGGGGCTCTGCCCTGTTGGAGGCCTCCCAGGGCGTCTCGAACGCTCTTGGGCCGTCTAGGAAGCGCACGCACTGGAGCCTGCTGGGCCTCGCAGGGGCCGCTGGGGCGCCGAATACGTGTATCGGACGCCCGCCCTCTTCGCATGCACTGGTCCCTTCAATGTAGTAGAGACTACTGCGAACCCGTGGATTGAATGCACGGTGTGCTGAACGTGGGACTCGCACACCGCGGGTGAACAGCTCGTCAAAGTTGAACAGCTCGGGTGTCCCTGGGGCCTTGTCGGCGGCATGTTGGGCCCTCCTGCGCGACTGTCTGGGGTGTCTTGAACACCTCGTGCGGTTTTTGGGCGCCTCTGGGGCCCCTCCCGGGCTGTACCCCAGAGCCTCTTCTGGGGGACAGCCCGGGAAACTTCTTGCTCATTGTGCGTGCGTGCGTGCTGTGAGATTGATGTCAGAAGGTCCCCATTGTCACCCCTGAGGTTAGCTGCAGGGTTTTCTGCAGGCTCTGGGAGTCGGGGCTGAAAAACTGTCTTATCCTGGGGGGGTCTGCGCCATCTCGGAGTGGTCCAAGGACAGATCTCGTGGTCTTGGGGGGCTGTCTTGGGGGCCACCGAGGGCTCTACTCGGCCGTAGGGGGGGGGGAGCGAGATGCTGGTCCCCGCAGTGCCTGCAGGTCCCACCCCTGCCATCCCTAATAGGCCGCAGAGGGGGAGCGACCGAAGTGGCTGCAAGCCCACCTGTCACCCCTGACACGCTGCGTGGAGGCCCCAGAGCGGCCGGAGCCTCGATGATGAAGGAGGACGAGATCAGAGGAGAAGGTCCCCTCTGTCACCCCTAATCGGCCGTAGGGGGGATCTTGAGAACGATTCTAGGCCTTCTCGGAGTGGTCCTGGGATCGCTCTTGGGAGCTCCGTAAGAACTATGAGGGCCTCTTCCTGGGACTGCTGTTGGGAGCGCCGTGTGAACTGTCTGAGTCTTTTGGGAAGCGTGGGAGTCTTGTGGGCGACTGGGGCATCTCGGAGTAGCCCTAGGACCGCTCTTGGGAGGTTTGTGGGGACTCTGGGAGTCTCTTGGGAGGCTCTGGGGCACCTCGGAATGGTCTGGGGCCTGCCTTGGAGGTCTGGGGCTTTCTTGGCGAGCGTTTGGGGTTCGAGAGACAGCAACATGGTGCCGTGGCTCGAGGCACTCTCTTTGGGAGCTCCTTTGGAACCACTCCAGTCTCTTGGGAGACTCTGGGGCATGTGGGAGTGGTCCTTGGAGGGGTCTTGGCCAATTGGAGGCTGGGGGAAGGGCGTCTGGGCGCCCTTCGGCCCCTCTTCGAGCACTCGTGGGGGTCCCTCTTGAGGAGGGAGGGAGGGAGGGAGGGAGGGGGAGGGGGAGGGGGAGATGGAGGGGGAGGGAGGAGGAGGGGGAGAGGGAGGAGGAGGGGGAGGGGGAGGAGGAGGAGGAGGAGGAGGAGGAGGAGGAGGAGGAGGAGGAGGAGGAGGAGGAGGAGGAGGAGGAGCGGTGGCCGTCCTCGGCCCTCCTTTCGAACAAAGTCGCGTGGGGCCGCCGAGGCCTCCGATACAAGCGCGGGGGGGGGACCGGCAGCCGGGGTCCCATGCCTAAAGCAGCCAAGGGGTGATTCAAATAATTCCGCCTACGTGTGAGGCATATGCCAGAAGATGTTTTCTCAAACGTGCTCCTAGCTGATCATGGAAACCAGCGTGTATGCGTGTTTGTGAATGCATTTTCCCTCATGACGTCCGCACGCCCCCCGATCCTGGCCGTGTGGAGGAAAGCTGACATTGGGCTCCACTGTCGCCTCCCACAGCCCACGGAGCACCGACGGTGCCCGTTGCCATTGCCCGCCGTTTCTGCATGCGCTGACCGTCGCGACGTGGTGGCCTGGGGAGAGCTGCACAACTGATCGAATTCCTTCATGGAGCAGCTGCAGTGCTGCGCTCCATTGATTCATGTGAGCGCACTTCTTGATTGACGCTTCGAGGGAAACAGCGCCTTCTCGAGACCCCAGTCGCGAATCTGGCGTCCAATAACATGCGAAATCACGGCGACTTGAGCCAGCATGCTCGATCAGTACGGGCTTGAACCAAGTGAGTCTGCACACGAGTGAGGGCATCCTGGGGCTTCCTTCGGCCTGGCGGTGCCTCCTTCGACCTCCTGGGGCTCCCTAAGCTTTCCTGGAGCCTCCTTGGGCTTCTTCGGGCGTTCTGGAACTGCCTAGTGACTTGAAAGGTTTCCTGGCGTTGCCCGGGGCCTCCTGGCGCGTCCGTCGGCTTCCTGGGGTTTCTTGGGGCCTCCTGGAGCATTCCGGATTTTCCTGGAGGAAGAGGAGGAGGAGGAGGAGGAAGAGGAGGAGAAAGAGGCGCCGGCCCCCAAAAAACGTTCTTGCCGATGATTTCCTGCTATCTGCGCGCAAACTGGCCTCTGCCATGCTCCCCCAGGGGAGGCCCAAGTGCCGTGCCTTCTACATCTCGGTGATCATTGCGTGATGGCTGGGTGTTGTGCGTGTCCGCGGGTCTGAATATGAGAGTCTGAGTTTGGCCGGGTCTCAGCGAATGAGTTTGAATGCAGGTGTGTGTGTGTGGTTACCGAACGAGTGCGACTAAGAATGGACGCGGGTATGAGTCAGTCTGGGCACTTGAACAAGAAGTCAATGCTGAGACATTTGGGAATATCAGCGCATAAGACCACTCTTCGGGTGCTACATATGTTCGGGCGTATGACACAATATTTGAGTTGCGCTGGGCACGCAATTCAACCCACGAGAGCACCAACATCGGAAGATCTCTCCCTCTACACATACACATACATTTGTGGATTCGCAACGCTCGGTCTACACATACCGATTACGAA